TCATGTGTCTTTTCCATCTCTAGGATTCTATTATTATTATTATGGATGGCCATCTGTCAGGAGGGCTTTGATTGTGTCTTCTTGTCTGGCAGAAGGGCGTTGGACTGGATGGCCCTCATGTCTCTTCCAGCTCTAGGATTATATTATTATTATTAAGCTGGATGGTCTCATGTCTCTTCCAGCTCTAGGATTATTATTATTATTATTATTATTATTATTATTATTATTATTATGCTGGATGGTCATCTGTCAGAGCGCTTTTATTGTGTCTTCTTGTCTGGCAGAAGGGCGTTGGACTGGATGGCCCTCATCTCTCTTCCAGCTCTAGGATTATGTTGTTGTTGTTGTTGTTGTTGTTGTTAAGTTGGATGGTCATTATTTTTATAATAATAATAATAATAATAATAATAATAATAATTATTATTATTATTATTAAGCTGAATTGTGATCTGTCAGGAGAGCTTTGATTGTGTCTTCCTCCCTGGGTTGGGCTGGATGGCCCTCGTGTGCCTCTTCCAGCTCTAGGATTGTAGTAATAATAATAATCATCATCATCATCATCATTACACGGTCCTAGACACTTGGGAAATGTATGACGTGTGATTCAATACAATAGCCAGCAGAGTGAACTTGTCTGCTGTGTACCAGTTTTGTTGTGTTTCAAATACTACTACTAATAATAATAATCTGGATGGCCATCAGTCAGGAGGACTTGGATTGTGTCTTCCTGCCTGGCAGAAGGGGTTGGACTAGATGGTCCTTGGGGTCTCTTCCAACTCTTTGGTTCTGTGATTCCAACTCTTCAGCCCCTCGCAAAACTACATATCCCAGGACAGCAGACCAGCAACCATTGTGTATTTTCCATGCTTTCTCTAGGCCTGAAGCAGCCGCCCGGCGGAGTGATGCTGCTGAGCGTGTCCATCCTGTTGGCCGGAGCTGGGGTCACCCTCCTCATCTTGGGGGCCTTTGTCTTCTCCCGAAGGAGCCGCTGCCATTCGAACTCGACACTCCATACTTCTGCCCTCGACACAGGCCTCTGAACTATTCTTACCTTCTGTGCAGAAACCGAATAAAGCAAAACAATAAGGCTTTGAAACCTTCCTTGTGTTTGGTCTCATAATGTTCTCCTTCCAGAGTTTGGGGAATATAATTGGCCTAAGATCCCACTGACATTGGAAGCTAAGCAGGGCCAGACCTTCTTTACTTACTTACTTACTTACTTACTTACTTAGGCGATCCCTCGTAGTCCGAGGATGATGGTCCTCCAAGTTCGGTGTCCTGAGGGTGGGTTCGTAGATGGCTGTGGAGCCCTGTTCTTGACCTACATCTTCTCCCGCAGTGAGGGCATTGGTTTCCAGGTGGGATGCGGTCTCGGTCGGGGTTGGCTTGACGCACCTTCCTCTTGGCACGTTTCTCTCTTTCACCCTCCATTCGTGCCTCTTCAAATTCTGCAGCACTGCTGGTCACAGCTGACCTCCAGCTGGAGCGCTCAAGGGCCAGGGCTTCCCAGTTCTCAGTGTCTATGCCAGAGTTTTTAAGGTTGGCTTTGAGCCCATCTTTAAATCTCTTTTCCTGTCCCACCAACATTCCGTTTTCCGTTCTTGAGTTCGGAGTAGAGCAGCTGCTTTGGGAGACGGTGGTCGGGCATCCAGACAACATGGCCGGTCCAGCGGAGTTGGTGGCGGAGGACCATCGCTTCAATGCTGGTGGTCTTTGCTTCTTCCAGCACGCTGACATTTGTCTGCCTGTCTTCCCAAGAGATTTGCAGGATTTTCCGGAGGCAGTGCTGATGGAATCGTTCCAGGAGTTGCATGTGACGTCTGTAGACAGTCCACGTTCGCAGGCATATAGCAGGGTTGGGAGGACAATAGCTTTATAAACAAGCACCTTGGTATCCCTACAGATGTCCCGGTCCTCAAACACTCTCTGCTTCATTCAGAAAAGTGCTGCACTCGCAGAGCTCAAGCAGTGTTGAATTTCGGTGTCGATGTTGACTTTGGTGGAGAGGTGGCTGCCAAGGTAGCGGAAATGGCCAACATTTTCTAATGTGACACCATTAAGCTGTATCTCTGGCATTGGAGAGGGGTTGGCTGGTGTCTGCTGGAGCAGCACTTTGGTTTTCTCGATGTTCAATGACAGGCTGAGGCCATTCTTTACTTAGGCGATCCCTCGTAGCCTGAGGATGATGATCTTCCACGTTCGGTGTCCTGGCAGTGGGTCCGTAGGTGACTGTGGAGCCCTATTCTTCACCTACATGTTCTCCTGCAGTGAGGACATCGGTTTCCAGTTGGAAGGCAATCCAATTCGGGGTTGGCTTGATGCGCTTTCCTCTTGGCACGTTTCTCTCTTTCGCCGTCCATTTGTGCCTCTTCAAATTCTATAGTGTAGGGGCAAAGAAACCAAAATATTTCCCAAGAAGCAAGAGCCTCCTTTCCAATGGGGAGGGCAATGATGGACACCATGAAAACAGAATCTTTTAAATTGCAAAAAACTATGTATTGCGTGGATATAGCAACAACGACAAACAAGCATAAAGGAATGCAATCCAAGGGTTTGTCGCAACCCCCAATGGGGCTGCAGAGTTTTTATCACTTTGGTAGTAAATGGAATACACATTTTCATTGGTTCTCAAAGATAAATTCATTGGTCTAAGCTAGCTATACAGTTGTTCATTAGTTGTTTATGATTTTTATTTATTATTGATTGATTTATCGTGTCAGGAGCAAACCAAACAGTTGTATTGCATTTTTTAACAAACAAACAAACAAACAAAACTCAAAGTTTGCAAGCTTGGAAGTTGATTAAATGTCCTTTGACCAGTATCTGGCCCCTTGGAGTTCCTCTGGCGTTGCCGCAAGGAGGTCCTCTATTGTTCAGGTGGCAGGGCTCAGGTTGCATTGCAGCAGGTGGTCAGTGGTTTGCTCTTCTCCACACTCGCATGTCGTGGATTCCACCTTGTGGCCCTATTTCTTGAGGTTGGCTCTGCATCTCGTGGGGCCAGAGCGCAGTCTGTTCAGCACCTTCCAAGTCGCCCAGTCTTCTGTGTGCCCAGGGGGGTCTCTCATTTGGTATCAGCCACTGATAGAGGTTCTGGGTTTGAGCCTGCCACTTTTGGACTCTCACTTGCTGAGGTGTTCCAGCAAATGTCTCTGTAGATCTTGGCAAATTATTTCTTGATTGACAAAATAGCACATGGAGGATCCTAACAATGGCACAACTATAACACAACTATAGTCTATTGTTCTTTGACCATGACTGTCTCAATGAATCAATCTTATCTGCTAGTCTGTTGCAAACATGACTTCAGAGCGACTGGGAAACTTGGGGAGTTCTAACTAGCCACCAGCTAGCTGGTTTTGTCCAGATGGACTCTTCTCTGGAGCACTGATTTCTCAAACCATCAGCATTTTCTGTAAACATAGGTCTACTGTAGAAATAAGCCAATATGGTGGTAAATCAGAGCATATGGGCATTGGGAATATGTCTGAAAATTCCCTTTTTAAAACCACATCCCCTCTATTAGCATTGCTGGTCACAGTTGACCTCCAACTGGAGTGCTCAAGGGCCAGGGCTTCCCAGTTTCGCTGGCCCATCAAGGGACAATAGAACTAGTTTCTTTAGAAGGCCAATCCCCGGACTTAAGGAACCCCAGGACATTGAAATCCTATAATCCACTCAAAAATGCATTGTTTCTTTTCATCCCGCCTCCCTTCCTCCTGATTCGCTAGAGCGTCCAGGCGGTAGGCGCTTCCTGATAGGCTCCAGCGCAGCGGAGAAGCTCTGTGATTGGTTCTGGCGCAGGGAGGTTGGCCACGCCTCCTCCCAGCTGTTATCGCGTCAGCCAATCACTGTTGAGCCGGGCGGGGAGCGGGAATTTTTAAACTTCCAAGCCTGTATTTCCTATAAGAATGCCTCTGATTTCTGTAACCACATGCTCTGCTTGGCGAATGATTGCTGCATTGCATCCTTTTCAGAGGAATGGCTAATAAAAACACCTCGGTGGCGCTTCTTCAACTTTGATGAGATTTCTTCCGGATTTTTAGGGAAATAAAATTGCTGAAAGTCAGGCTTCTCTTTGCTCATCAAAGTAGCGATCCCTCGTTGGTTTCTCTCCTCCTGGGGTAGACCTTCCTAAAGTTCCTATCGATTTCAACCCTCCTCGTCTTGGGGCCTTTGTCTTCTCCCAAAAGAACCGCTGCCATTTGAACTCGACACTCCGTCCTTCTGCCCTCGACACAGGCCTCTGACTGAGTAAAGCAAAACAATACGGTTTTGAAACCCTCTTTGTTTTTTGGTCTCATAAGGTTCTCCTTCCAGAGTTTGGGGATATAATTGGCCTAAGATCCCATTGACACTGGAAGCAAAGCAGGGCCAGGCCTTGTTAGGACTTGGATGGGAAACTTGGGCCCTCCAGGTGTTTTGGACTCCAACTCCCAGCATTCCTAACAGCCTCAGGCCCTTTCCCTCTCAGCCGCTTAAGGGCCTGAGGCTGTTAGGAATGCTGGGAGTTAGAGTCCAAAACACCTGGAGGGCCTGTACCCTTTCAATGCAGAAAAAACCCATTTAGAACTACAACTCCCAGAATGCATCCTGTCTGCAAACATGGCAGGAAAAGCGGGCGCTGCTTTGAGTCTCCTTTGTAGTCTGTGGGGCTAGAAAAGCAACGTTTCTAAGCCATATGACTCAAAACTCCAATTCCCACAATCCTTTCCCATTGCCTTCGATGGCTGGGGGCTGACGGGAATTGTAGGCGGAGAGGGAAAGCGGAAGTCGGAGTTGCCACGGCGACGAGATCCCCGGATGCGGGTGACGTCACGCGCCAAGCCGACGCGGTCATCTCCACCCCTTTGGTGGCCCCGCCCCCTTTTAGACTCCTCCCCTTCTCTCTCTGAGGCGCCGGCGACGAAATCCCCGGATGCGGGTGACGTCACGCGCCAAGACGACGCGGCCATATCTACCCCTTTGGTGGCCCCGCCCCCCTTTTGACTCCTCCCCTTCTCTCTCTGAGGCGCCGGTTGATGACGCCTTTGGGCGGCGCCGGCGGCTCCTGAGGGAACGAAGAGGCGGCGACGGCTTGGTCAGAGAAGCGAGCGGTTCCTCTCCCCTCGGAGGGACCGCGGCGAGGCGGAAGGGAAGACCCTTTTTGACCCTCCTCGGTGCCCGTGGCCACTTTGGGCCCTCTTCCTTGGGAACCTGAGAGCCTGTTCCTTAGCCACGCCCCCTCCGGCCTGCTCCCTTTTTGGCCGCTCTCCCCCTCCGTACCCCAAGCCACGCCTCCTCCTGGCTTCCTATGACCTGCCTGCGAGAGGAGACCCCACTTAGGGTCTGAAGGAAGGAGGAAGGCCGCAGGTAGGTGGGCCAGGCCTCGCAGGGGGGAAGCCCCCATTGGAAGGGCGGGAAGGGCAGCCCTCCAGAAAGTTTCCAAAGACCCAAATGGTTTGGATGTCGAACAGATTGGCATCATGGCTTCAACTCTATGTGTGTCGACATGCTTGTGGATTTCAAGTGGCTGAAAGAGCTGGGCATGTTTAGCCTGAAGAAGAGGAGGCTGAGAGGAGACATGATAGCCATGTGTAAATATATGAGAGGAAGTCATAGGGGGGAGGGAGCAGGCTTGTTAGTGGAAAGTAGAGTCTGTCTGAACATTAGGAAGAATTTTATGACTCTGAGAGCTGTTCAGCAGTGGAACTCTCTGCCCCAAAGTGTGGTGTAGGCTCCTTCTATGGAGGCTTTTAAACAGAGGCTATCTGGCCAGATGGCCATCTGTCGGGGGTGCTTTGAATGCAAAGTGGATATAAGTGAATTTAATGTTTGTGTATATTTATAATTTTATGTCCTGGCGTTGAATATTTATTTATTTATTTATTTATTTGCTTTACTTCTATACCGCCTTTCTCAGCCGAAATGGCGACTCAAGGCGGTTTACATAGTAAAGGGTTAACACAACAACATCAAAAAAGCAATTAAAAACACATTATACAAAACATATCAAGTCAAAAAACAAACATTATCATAGACGTGCGCCTCAACAAATAAATCAGAATCAGAATCCGCAATCAGAATCCGTTATACCAGTTCCTATGTTCAGTTGTACCATCTTACTGTGTTTCATTGCACTATTTAGCCAAACGCTTGTTCGTAAAGCCAAGTCTTGACCTTCCTCCGAAATGCCAGCAGTGAAGGGGCCTGTCTGATGTCCACAGGTAGGGCGTTCCACAGCCGCGGGGCCACCACCGAGAAGGCCCTGTCTCTCGTCCCCACCAACCGCGCCTGTGATGCGGGCAGGACCGAGAGCAGGTCCTCCCCAGACGATCTTAACGTCCTAGCTGGTTCATATTTGCCATATTTTATGTTGTGCTCCATTCTGAGTACCCTGCGGAGTGAGAAGGGTAGAATATAAATGTTTCAAATAAATAAATAATTTGTTTATTTAATTATTTTGCATATTTGCATCCTGTCCTTCTCACCCCCGGAGAGGGGCTCAGGGCGGCTTCACAACAGGCATTCATTCAATGCCAACAACAATAATAAATGACAAAAGCAATTTAAACAAGTTGTTAATGCTTTAAAATCACTAAAACATTGTTTAAAATCACACAGGTTTGAAATTCAATTCACACAAATTGGGTCTCATTCTAAAGTGCTGCCCGTACTGTTCAGACACTTGGTCCCATAACCAGGTTTTGAGCTTCATTCTAAAGGACAAGAGGGAGGGGGTCAATCTAATGTCACTGGGTAGAGAGTTCCACAGGTGAGGAGCCACCACTGAGAAGGCCTTGTCTCTTGTCTCCACCAGTCGCGTCTGCAAGGATGGTGGGACTGAGAGCAGTGCCTCTCCCGTCGAGTTTAGACTTTGCGATGGTCCATAGCAGTCTTTAAAAACTGACACATGTTCAGATAGCCAATACATCAATCTGTTGATTATCTTGTGAAGACATACATATTCAACACAAGAGGTTTAGGCAGTGAGGGTGAATGTAAGAGATTTTTAGTACAACATGCAGGTAATTCAGGCTGATGTTTTATTTTTATTTTATTATCATTTATTATTTTAATGGCATTTTGATAATGCTGTTGTTGTCTAATGTATATGCTTTGATTTTATTGCTGTATTATTTTGTCCGGGCTTGGCCCCATATAAGCCACACCGAGTCCCCATTGGGGAGATGGTAGCGGGGTAGAAATAAAGTTTATTATTATTATTATTGAAGGGGCCAGGTCTCTCCAAGTGCAAAGGATGGTGAGGCATCTTTGGAGACCAATAACAGACCCTCTATGACACCTTCACAAACTCTGTTCACCCGGATGTTTTGGACATCAGCTCCCACAATTCCTAAATGCTTGGAAGCTGGCTGGGATTTCTGGGAGCTGAAGTCCAAAACACTTGCAGGAGCAGAGTTTGAGAAACACTGCTTTATGGCATCAGTTCCCAAACTGGTTCTAAATTTGCATGAAAGATCTTTAAATCTTTTTTCAAAAGCCTGTGCCAGAGTATTTTGAAATTCATTGTAACTTTAAAAATGGATTTGGAATCTGTGCCACTGAATGATTTTTTTGGGTAGGACTGATAGACCTATAGCTGAGAAATTCTCCCCTTCATGTCCACCCATCTTTTCAGTTTTTGCCTGCTCCAAAAATAAATGTAGTTGGCTATCAGCCTGAATTTACATACTCAATTCTCAAGCATAAAGCCCATTTTAAAAATCGTTTTAAGTACAAAAATGAAACTTTGCCCGTTCATCGTCCTTAGGGACACAGGTGAGAGGGAAACGTTTTCCGAACCATGACCAAAAATGTCTGGAAACTGGTGCTTTGTGGTATGATCTTTTGTGGCTTAGAATCCACTCCATCAAACTGTGCAGTACTTACTTACTTACTTAGACGATCCCTCGTTGGACGAGTAAGATGGTCTTCCATTATGCGTTTCCTTGTGGATTCGTAGGTGGCTGTGGAGCCCTATTCTTGACCCGCATCTTCTCCCACAGTGAGGGCATTGGTTTCCAGGTGGAAGGCGGTCCCGGTCGGGATTGGCTTGACACACCTTCCTCCTGGCACGTTTCTCTCTTTCACCCTCCACTCGTGCCTCCTCAAATTCAGCAGCACTGCTGGTCACAGCTGACCTCCAGCTGGAGCGCTCAAGGGCCAGGGCTTCCCAGTTCTCAGTGACTATGCCAGAGATTTTAAGGTTGGTTTTGAGGCCGTCTTTCAATCTCTTTTCCTGTCCGCCAACGTTCCGTTTTCCGTTCTAAAGTTCAGAGTAGAGCAACTGCTTTGGGAGACAGTGGTCAGGCATCTGGACAACGTGGCTGGTCCAGCGGAGTTGATGGCAGAGGACCATCGCTTCAATGCTGGTGGTCTTTGCTTCTTCCAGCACGCTGACATTTGTCCGCTTGTCTACCCAAGAGATTTGCAGGATTTTCCGGAGGCAGCGCTGATGGAATCGTTCCAGGAGTTGCATGTGACGTCTGTAGACAGTCCACGTTTCGTAGGCATAGAGCAGGGTTGGGAGCACAATAGCTTTATAGACAAGCACCTTGGTATCCCTATGGATGTCCCGGTCCTCAAACACTCTCTGCTTCATTCAGGAAAATGCTGCACTCGCAGAGCTCAGGCGGTGTTGTATTCCGGTGTCGATGTTGACTTTGGTGCAGTACAGGGTGTTTCAATAAGATGGGCCCCATTAGAAATTACTATATTTCTTCAACCACAAATAGGACATGAATGAAACTTTTATTCCTTTTAAAGAGTGGGTCATAGAGTTTTAAAGGATTGCTGCTAGATGTTTTCCCCATGCCTCAGTCATTTGCCACTTGACCTAATGAGATAGTCTCCAATTTTTTGGGTTATTTTTTTACTTTTTTCCTGACTTTTAGTGATTAGTAAAACTTGATGACAAATTGTCTCCTTTCGAGTAATTTTAAGATGTTGCCATCATGAAATACACTGCTTTAAAATTAGGTCCATCGTTTTGAAACTTGTGGTGTAACCGAAGTATATGTGTAAGCGGAGCAAAGTTGTACATGGGAATCACTTCTCACTGGCTGGTGTGCATTGAGGACATATCGCTAAGGAAAACTCTTAGCAATATGTCCTCAAATGCACTTTAATATTGATTTAGGATTGTCTGCGTGCCCTCATCTTTCCTAAAAACCCTATCCTAGTTTACCCTACCTTGTTCATGCCCAGCATTTTAGATTTTAATTATTACATTTGGCCCGGACAAAGGTTTTTAAATGCTGTATGTTATTGTTATTGTTTATTGTGTATTTTTTGTTTTTGAATTTTTATTTTAACTGTTCTGTATTGATTATTTGTTATCGCTTTTGTTTATTGATGTGCTGTGGGCTTGGCCTCATGTAAGCCGCACCGAGTCCCTTGGGGAGATGGTAGCGGGGTACAAATAAAGTTTTATTATTATATTATTATTCATGTGCTTTTGTTGGAAATTGTTGTCTGGTTGTTGCAGTTTGAAGGATATTGACAAACTGGAATATGTCCAGAGGAGGGTGACTAAAATGATCAAGGGTCTGGAGAACAAGCCCTATGAAGAGCGGCTTAAAGAGCTGGGCATGTTTAGCCTGAAGAAGAGAAGGCTGAGAGGAGATGATAGCCATGTATAAATATGTGAGAGGAAGTCACAGGGAGGAGGGAGCAAGCTTGTTTTCTGCTGCCCTGGAGACTAGGCCGCAATGGAGCAATGGCGTCAAACTACAAGAAAGGAGATTCCATCTGAACATTAAGAAGAACTTCCTGACTGCAAGAGCCGTTCAGCAGTGGAACTCTCTGCCCCAGAGTGTGGTGGAGTCCTTCTCTGGAGGCTTTTAAGCAGAGGTTGGATGGCCATCTGTCAGGGGTGCTTTGAATGCAATATTTCTGCTTCTTGGCAGGGGGTTGGACTGGATGGCCCATGAGGTCTTTTCCAACTCTATCTATATATATAAATCTGTTAGGTTGGTTTAACAGGACAGCAAAACTCTAAAAAACCCCAACGAAACTTAACCAAAATTCCCATGCCCATAACACAACCCACAAGGTACAAACATATCTACTCAAAATGAAAAACAACACAACAACACACTCAAAACGGCAAAACAACAAAACTCAAAAAAACCCAACGAAACTTAACCAAAATTCCCATGCCCATAACACAACCCACAAGGTACAAACATATCTACTCAAAATGAAAAACAACACAACAACACACTCACAAAACGGCAAAACAACAAAACTCACAAACCCCCCAACGAAACTTAACCAAAATTCCCATACCCATAACACAACCCACAAGGTACAAACATATCTACTCAAAATGAAAAACAACACAGCAACACACTCACAAAACGGCAAAA